TATATATCTACTATTATATATTAATTATTCGTGTATTCGTACGTCTTTTTTCTTATTCTATTCTCTCCCTTTTTTATGCTATGTACTATCTTAAATGCCTAAAAAGTGCGCCTCGGTGTGGTCATCAATATTAGATAGCTTGCGAATGAATAATATTGTATTTTTTTTGATTATTTCATTATGCTCATGGCCTTTTGCTATATATATCGCGTTTCAAGGTCATCCAACGATTGTTCACCACAATTTGCCATAGGCTACGTATCATTTTTTTGGCCATCACCATGTATGATGCAGGATTTTTAACCCTCGCGGTTCAATGACTGGGTTTTTTTTGATCTGGTTAACTCTAATGGTTAGAAACAACGTTATTCAATAAAAAATTAGATAAGTTTCATTTTAATTTTAAGTTGAGTATGACTCAATTTTGATCCAGTATTCTGTGAACTATACTTCGAGAGTTAATCTACGGATTTTGTTTCAAGTATCGCACTATTACGAATATATTTTTTTTTTATTTAATTTTTTTTTTTTTTTTTGATTTTTGAACTATCTGACGAAAAAATGTGCAAAAACATCAGCTGATAGCCATGCGGTAGGTGTGAATTCGTTCTATTGCAATATACACTATCGGCCAGAAGTATGATTACTATTTTATGTTACTATTTTTTATGGCAAATTGTGATCAATTATGTGTGCATTGTGACATACTTGTCTTAACAATTTATGATTGAAATGTTATGAATTAATAAATCGAGTTTTGATATTTGATAAGAATGGTTTTGAAGTGTTAAAATATTAGATATAGATATAAATTCTATATTTTTAGTTTTATATTTTATATATATATCTATAATATATATCTAAAATTTTATTCAAAATACAAGGAAAAATCATAATTTTAAATAATTTGTTATTTCAATAATTTTACAATTTTTATTAATTTAAAAATCATTTCTGGAAAATAGCTTTATTTTATATAAAATCAAATACAATGAAATTCTTATATTTGTAAAGTTCATGGATAATAATAAATACTACGTTTATGTATATTTTATATAGTATTTTATGTAACTATAATTATTAATTAAATATTCTTATTGAAAAAATTTATAATGAAATATAACAAATTACAAATAATAATAGCGAAATAAAGAAATAAAAATAATGAAATAATAATAATTATGTAATAATAATATAATTATCTTTTTCGATAATTTTCATTTCTGAATGAAATCTTAGAATTTTTTATTTTTTTCAAATTAAAGGTAAACTATCAATATTGAAACTATAAAAAATTAGAATTGCTTTTAAATAATTTTTTATTTCTATTAATACACACTTTCATTTTAATTTAATATTAAATTAATTATTTTTCAAAAAATTTTAAGATATCAAATAATTTGGATTTTAATATTATTGTTTGTTTTTTAAATAAATTTTTAATAATACTTTTATTGCTTTATTCATTATAATTTAATCAAAATTTGATTTAATGATTTGATTTAATTCAATGATTAAATTCATTGTTAAGACATTATATAAAAAATTAGAATATACATATAGAAAATATTTGATTCATTGTTAATTCTTAATTTATTGTATATAATACAATTAAAATTCTTAGTTGATTGAAATTAATAACATTTCGTTTCGTTATAATATTTGTTTTGCAAATATAAATTCTTCATATTAGTAATATTAATAGTTCTTTCATAGTCTTGGTTCTTTATATAGTCTTCTAAAATTGTATTAATTATTACGGGCAACTTTCAAAATTGAAAACTTTGAAAATTGAATTTTGAATTTGAATAAGAAAAGTATTCGAATTCGACATTGTCAAAATTTTTTTTGTAATAAAACAATTAATAAAAAATGAATTATATTATATTCAACTTACTTCAAGTTTTAAATTAATATACAATAAATATTGTTTAATACAATGTTTAATCGCTATATATATATATATATATATATATGATATATTATTATATTATTATATAAGATGATATATTATTTATGCAATCATTTTTTCAACATTTTAAGCAGTAATTTTTCTATAAAATTTTATTAAGAAAAATGTATTTTTATTTATAAGAAATAAATTTTTAAATATTTTTAATCATTAAATACATAAAATATGAATTTATAATAAAAAAAATAAAGTGTAAACATAAAAGTATAAAATTTTTTTCTACACTTAATATAATAACTGAATTTAATAATTTTATTATTATTTGAAATTATTAAATTTGTGTTAAATTTTACATAAAACTAAAGAAAATATTATTTCTAAATTTAATTAAAATATTCTAAATTAAATTAAATATTGATTTTTCTGTAAATTAAATTTTTTATACTTTTGGTTGATAGTGTATATCATTATCTAAAAATTTTCCAATAAAATTAATAAATAAAACCGTAAAATAATTGATATTTTCTTTTACAAACTTAAATTTTAATTAAGAAGAAAATAAAATGATCAAGTTTTTAAATTGTATCAAAATCATATGCAATTAGATAATTGTAATTATACACAATTATAATCGTAATAACAAAATAGAAATTTGTAGTAAATTTATTGAAAATTTTATATGTTTATTTTTTGCAAAAAAAGAAAATATTCATTATAATAATTTAAATGAAGGTTTATGTTAATATGCATTAGTTAATGCATTATAAAGTAGAATGTGCGCACCGTCATCAGGCTTTTAAATAATTACTCGTTAAGTGACTCGATTTATCTTATTTAATAGAGAAAAGTTTTTCTTTTTTTTTTCTCTCTCTCTCATTTAAGTTTTTTTTTCCCGTTTATTCATCCTTTATTCACTTTCATTCCACCTCCTCCCCTATCTATATCCTTGGTTCTTACTACTTTTCTTTTTTTTCTCTTTCCCTTTCTCTCTACCGTACTACATACATCTATTTATCTATCTATTTATCTATATATTTACGGATAAGGAAGTACATTGCACGTTTCGTTGTGTTGTAGTATTCTCGGGATGAACCTGTTTGGTTGCAAATTCTGTGAAACGATGAAAGGCAGCTCTGACGTCGAGTGTGATAGGAAAAACTTTGACTCGTTACTCTGGGCTATTGTGACAGTGTTTCAGGTACCTACAAAGGATACTTTTCCACGTATCTCTCTCGAGGGCTTTTTTTCCTCTATAGTGTATATTATATATTATATATTATATTATATATATTTATATTCGTATACATATTAACGTTACACACATGCATCCATGTATGCTATAAATTATTTTATATATGTGTATATATGTATATATATAAATATACATATATGTTCCATATACAGTACATATAAATACGTATGATATATACATATATATATATTACATTTGTCAATGAAATGACAATTCTCGTACCGACCGCAGACCGTGTGTCATCTACTACGATTTATGATTTCGCGAGGCCTTAAGGTAATGTATGAGAGATGCATACACGAACAGAAACGAATAATATTCTTATGGCATGCAGCCGTATCGAGGAGGAGGCCACGGATCATTCGAACGACCGAACCAGATAATGATGATGATAATGTTTCTTCGCTTTTTCTTACTCGTCTAATACGCAATCGCTGCTTAGCGAGAGTAAAATTCGTTTTAAAATACGCGCCCATTTTGCCATCGCAGCGCG